GCGAGTTATAGTGGAAATATTACTGCTTTGTCACTTTTAGTGGAAATAGCGACATCACATGCCATATCTCTGGCCTTTGTCCATCAACGTATGTGATTGCGAGTTACAGACATTTTTAAGTTACTGTCACTGCCCCGTCCCGGACTGCCCCAATAAACGAAGTACGAGTGTATGACCAACTCGAGGACCGGTGCTCTAGCCGCATGTTGTAGCATGCCAACTCTGTCTTCATCTTTGGCATTACTGTGTGTCCTGTGCAGAATGCTGATACAGCCGGGGGAGCTCTGAACGTGCACATAAATATGGACGTCATTCACACGGGGGCGCATCAAATGTCAAACATGCCAACGCCTGCTGCCGCCATCACTCAGGCCCAGTCAGCTAGTGGCACCACCAGGAGCAGTAGCAGCAGTAGCAGCAGCACAGCGGCGACTGCTACTACCTCTACTGGCGGCGGCCATACATCCAACAGCCAGCAAGCCTCCGCTGGCAACGCAGCGGCGGGAGCTGGGCACGCGGCGGCTGCACGGCAACACATGGATCGCGTTCAACAGCACATCCGGCAGCAGCACGCTACCAACCAGCGACAGCAAGCTCGTGAGTTCACCGATTGTGCGTCGCACTACCTGTCGCAGGCCTCTCGACACCTTCAACTTCTGCAGGTCAGTATTCACGTACACTCGACGTACTGGTACGGTATCCCTTCTTCTTGTGTGAAGGAGTACCTCGAAGTATTCATATGCGAGAAGATGCGGAAAAAAACTGTTATTCCTCTTTCTCTTTCTCCGTATTGTGCATTGTGTCCTGGACTAAAAAACGTCAATTTCCGGCAAGTGGACTGTCTGTGCACGCACTAAATTATTTTGACTAGTTTGAGGGAAAGACACAAACGGGAAAAGTCTGAAGAAAATCGACTGTCACCACATTATTTATAAATTATTTAGTTTGTGCAATATGTGTACTGTGCAGCGAGGCTTTCAAGGTGCACATGTTGACGTACCCTGAGATCGTATATTAGTGGCTTGTATTGGAAGGTTTTGACATGCAACTGACTTGCCTTTATTCCTTGGAATTTGTTCAAGTCCCAGTGTTGCATTACACTTGACCATACATCACTGGTTGCATGCGTATAAGCACCTCGTTCCCACTCGTTCCTCATTCTTCCTTCCATTTTGGCAAATGCTGGTTTCTATACATTGTGTAATTACTCAGCGTTACATCACTGGTCTTATTCTTACTCCGCTTCCCATTCCTCTACCTTGGTCATACTCTTCACTTGAAGTGGTAACCAGTGGATGAACGTGAGCAGTTTCGAGCTTCAAAATGCACATGGCAAGCCCGGTTGCTTGAGTTTACTTCCTATGTGTACTAAGCTCTTATAGCAGAACGGGGCAGGTGCATCCGTGTGTGTGTGTTCATGTGTGTGTGTGTGTTCGTGTGTCTTCGTGTGTGTTCATGAATGTGTGTGTGTGTGTGCATGTGTGTGTGTGTGTGTGTGTGCGCGTGCGTGTGTGTGTGTGTTCATGAATGTCTCTGTGTTTATGTGTCTGCGTCTGTGTGTGGTGTATACACTTGTTGTTGCTGTAGGAAATCCCCTCGGTGCACGCAACCGTCCAAGACCGTGTGCTTGAGCTTAACATCCCTCCAGTCCCAGCGGCAGCCACCGCTGCTGCAAGCAGCTCTACAGCAGCGCCAGCCGGAACTGAGAACAGCGGCAGTGCTGACGTGGACGGACCTACACCGGCCAGTAGCAGTCACAGCACTAGCAGCAGCAGCAGCAGCAGCAGCAACACCACCACTGCCACCAGTAGTAGCAGCAGCACCACTAGCACAACTAGTGGTGCAGCATCCGGCTCAAGTGCAACCCCAGGTGCTGCAAGATCTGGGCAGGCAACAAGTGCTAGCTCCAGTGCAACTGCTACTCCAGCCACCACCAGGTACATGTGGATACACACTGTGATGAGACCTGTAGTACTGAGTTTTTGGGTACAACGTGAATGAGTGAATCTAACTTATTATTAGGAGCTTCTCCGTGTTGGCATCAATGCAATGTAGATATACACAGCATGTATAGCTTTCACATACGCGGAAGCGATAACAGGCAAACAGGATATTGACGGCGATATAAAACGCGTGACGAAAATAGAATACAATAAAAACGAGCAAACGAACAGCTCAACCGAGTTGAATTTGAATTTGCTGTTCATTGCCAGGGTTTAACTAGCTAAGGACAGCTCATCAGGTGTGCAAGAATGGACTTGGATGGAGAGTCAAGGATTAATTTATAGAAAAGAAAAAGGTGCTGGAGCTGTTAGCCAGTTAGTTGTAGAACGCCTGTACCGTCGGTCAGTGTCGTGCAATGTTATCGCATGAGCTGATTGTAAAGTAACTGGTGGTGTTAGTGGACATTACAGCGTAACTTGTAGTTCCTTGGTCCTGTTTCTTTTCTATAAACTTAACTAGATAGTAGAAAGGAAAAGGACATATGGAAACGAGTTAAGAGTAACTCTCCACCACTGTAACTAGATACTATATACAGTCAGAAAGTGCAACAACTAGGCACAAAACTGACAGAGTACTGAGACATTCGACGTCCTGACACCTAGCTTCAACACATCTCCGTAGCGCTAACCGACAGCCTTCCAACTTGGAAGGTTCAAGGTTATGGAAAGACCAAAGAGGGGAAGGCAAGCGCAACGAAAACGAGCACAAGCTACAGTCCCAACGGAACAAAGAATGTCGATTGTTACTGGACGACGACGAGACCAGTAGGCGATTTGACAAGGCGGTCTAACTACAATTCGAAGCAGCAAAGCAGCACACCACCCAACTTGGGTGGGTCAAAAATATCAAAGATAAGTTAAGAAGGGGGAAGCTTTGCGAGAACGAATTGTACAAGCCGAAATCTAAACTCCTACAGTACTCCTCATGTATGACATTGTGATGGACTAGTTGACTACAAAACAAGTTGTTTCACACGACGTACGTTTCGCCGTATGGTTCGTGACGGCTCATCAGGTGTGCAATATGAAACTCGGGTATTGAGCCAATAATAAAAGTAGAAAGGAAAAGGACATATGGAAACGAGTTAAGAGTAACTCTCCACCACTGTAACTAGATACTATATACAGTCAGAAAGTGCAACAACTAGGCACAAAACTGACAGAGTACTGAGACATTCGACGTCCTGACACCTAGCTTCAACACATCTCCGTAGCGCTAACCGACAGCCTTCCAACTTGGAAGGTTCAAGGTTATGGAAAGACCAAAGAGGGGAAGGCAAGCGCAACGAAAACGAGCACAAGCTACAGTCCCAACGGAACAAAGAATGTCGATTGTTACTGGACGACGACGAGACCAGTAGGCGATTTGACAAGGCGGTCTAACTACAATTCGAAGCAGCAAAGCAGCACACCACCCAACTTGGGTGGGTCAAAAATATCAAAGATAAGTTAAGAAGGGGGAAGCTTTGCGAGAACGAATTGTACAAGCCGAAATCTAAACTCCTACAGTACTCCTCATGTATGACATTGTGATGGACTAGTTGACTACAAAACAAGTTGTTTCACACGACGTACGTTTCGCCGTATGGTTCGTGACGGCTCATCAGGTGTGCAATATGAAACTCGGGTATTGAGCCAATAATAAAAGTAGAAAGGAAAAGGACATATGGAAACGAGTTAAGAGTAACTCTCCACCACTGTAACTAGATACTATATACAGTCAGAAAGTGCAACAACTAGGCACAAAACTGACAGAGTACTGAGACATTCGACGTCCTGACACCTAGCTTCAACACATCTCCGTAGCGCTAACCGACAGCCTTCCAACTTGGAAGGTTCAAGGTTATGGAAAGACCAAAGAGGGGAAGGCAAGCGCAACGAAAACGAGCACAAGCTACAGTCCCAACGGAACAAAGAATGTCGATTGTTACTGGACGACGACGAGACCAGTAGGCGATTTGACAAAGCGGTCTAACTACAATTCGAAGCAGCAAAGCAGCACACCACCCAACTTGGGTGGGTCAAAAATATCAAAGAAGCTAGGTGTCAGGACGTCGAATGTCTCAGTACTCTGTCAGTTTTGTGCCTAGTTGTTGCACTTTCTGACTGTATATAGTATCTAGTTACAGTGGTGGAGAGTTACTCTTAACTCGTTTCCATATGTCCTTTTCCTTTCTACTTTTATTATTGGCTCAATACCCGAGTTTCATATTAACTAGATAGCAAAATATTAACATGCACAACATGCACACCCAGGCCTCGCCCTCTGTGTATGCTCCATCACCAGCGCGGCATCTCCCTTACATACTCAAACCTCTTTGGAGGTGAAAAACATCTTTGACAGAGAGAAATTGCTGATTTTTGTGTTTTAAGAAAAAACTGTAGAAAACTACAAGTTCTGGGAGTTTCACATTCATACACGCTTCTACAAGGACAAAATGACGCTTTTTAGTGACCTATCTAGTAGGGCACACTCACCCAGTTTCGGGGGAAGTGCACGAGTTTGTTTAGGAATATAGGATGATGGGAAGCATATAAGTCGACTCAAATCTCGAAGACTACACGTAGTGAAATTTTGATATTTGACTATACTTCCCGTTGAAGGTTCAGCAAAAACGGCCTCCCATCTCCTTTATTCATTTGTGTATACCGCTCTGCACTCGGGCGCATTGAGCACTCTTTCAAGCTGCCCTGCCTGGCCCTGATTGTGTAGTCATTATGCCTCTGTCTGTCTGCGTGTTTGTCCGTCTGCCTGTGTGTCTGTCTGTGTGTCTATCTGTCCGCCTATATGTCCGTCTGTCTGTCTGCCTGCCCGTCTATCTGTCTCTCCGTCCGTCTCTGTCTGTGTGTCTGTCAACAGAAGTGCAGAATTAGTTGCTATCCTTCGTCAGCAGATGGTACCGTACCTGCGCTGTCTTGCTCCAGCCGTGCAGCAATGCGTGGAGATTCTCGAGAATCCCAACGTGCAGGTGAGCTACATCTGATCATGTCCGCCTTCTTTCTTGTATTCGTGTATGGTGGTGGCACCAGTGTGGATGAGAGTACTCTAAGACCTGTAGTGTTAACGAGCATTTAATTCTAACGATTTAACCCTTTATGTACGGTGTGTACGCGAATCGATCACATATGATCGATTCATGATCGATCCGTAAAACCTTCGTAACTCCATCATGTCTTGTCCGAATTCAACAATCGAAGGGTCTATTCAGTAGCGGAAACTCTAAGCTTTCCAATGCAACAATCGCCGAAGAGCTACGATGTACGAATCCAGAGATATCGCGCGCCGTATCTTGTATCGGCAAATTCAAATTTTTTATCGATCTCTTCGCCATTTTAGGGGGAAATCCCTTTTCGTGTGCTCTTTGACCAACTCAGCACATGATAATGACGTAGTTGGCTGAAGTTTGAATCGCCTCGAAAAGATTTGAGCGTTCTGCGATAGAGGAGAGTGGAATGGCGTTGATCTGGAAATTTGCTCGCATATTGGGCTTGGAGACGACTTTGATGTGTTCCTGTGCCTGATTTGTGGCAGCTAGTTGATGGACCCTGGTATCCTCGCGTTGCTCTCGCCAGGAGCTTTCCAAAGAGCCCAAGATTGTGGAATTGGAGCGAAGGAGGCCAAAGTTATAGCCTGTTGAAGGTGAAAATTGTGCTGAAAATTCAAATTCTGCTTCATTCTGTGCTGGAAATCAGTACATAAAGGGTTAACGAATTTATAAAATTCGTTAACATTTGATGTCGTCATGTACAAAACGATATGTACATGTACCGTAAAGTACCGCCAGAGCGCCCCACCATCTCATCCTTTCGTGGTTGTATTGTGGAGGTGGTCTGCTGTCTGTAGGTCATACGACATGAACCTTGTACACACATAGCATGTTTTGCAGACAATCCGTACCTTCGAGCGGACACAAGCTCCACACAAAAACCTGCCAAGTGTGACCTTAGTACACTAAGATTCTTACATCGTACAAACTTCGTTGCACTCTGTCATACGATTTTCCTTTCTCTGGCTGTAAGATCAAGGTGGGGCGTTCTCGCGAGATGGGGCGCTCTGGCGGTACTTTACGGTACAGTTATTTGCCGGTTTTGAGACAGAATTCGTTAGAATTTCACCTCCCTAATTCACAAAATCCGGGTCTGACATTAGTCTGTGTGTGCTACACAAGCATACTGAGCAGCATACTGAGCAGCGTACTGAGCAGCATACTGAGCAGCGTACTGAGCAGCATACTGAGCAGCATACTGAGCACCGAATAACGTAGCACGTGATCCCATGTGTTGCTCTTTGATTGAAACTTTTGGCCGGCAAAGCGTTCTTTCGTTGTGTTTCATGCAGTACTTTGCACGTTGGAATCATGCATGATTGACAAAAAATGACTCCCTGTGGGGGAGGGGGGGGGGGGGGGGGTGAGACAGGAGGAATAGAGAGAGGAGGGGGGGGGGGGGGGGGGAGAGAGAGAGAAGTCAGTCTTACTCCGATTTTCTCACAATGTATCCTCGAAAGCATCGCACTCTCTCCCCTTTCTTTGTGTGAAGATGCATATGCAGGGCAGGTGGAGCGTGATGTCACGCTGTGATAGATTTTGTGCGTGAAAATAGAATCGCCAGATGCCAAACAACTCCCAACTCTTTTACATTTATGGTTTGAATGTATGCTTCCTTGCTTTTGTGTGTGCCCCCCCCCCCCCCCTCTCTCTCTCCCTCCCTGCCATTAGGACAGCGACGCTCAGTACATCTTGGACAGTGTCTTTGAGTCAATTCACTCCTTGTCCCATTCCTGTGCGTCACTAGCTGATCTGGACGTGGACGTCGGCCAGCCAGCTCCGCGGCCGGTCTCCTCGTACATGACACGCAGTGTGGAAATGACGACGGTGATGGCTAGTGTTGGTCCCGACGGGGACGCTATAACCACCAACCCTGTTGTCTTGGGCGGTGAGCGTCGTTCTGCTCAAGGACGCGGCCAGCCGCGTGCAGCCCAGCGAACATCGTCGTCATCGTCTTCACCTTCATCCTCTGCTGCTCCCACTGCCAGCGCAGCGTCTTCAGCATCACATCCGGCAACTACATCTGCACCCAGACAGCAGAGTGCAGCGCCCACTAACAGTAGCAGCGCCGGCACTATGCCAGCCGGCGGCCAGCCTGGCCAAGCACCTCAGCCCGGCCAGTTTCCTGCCTTCTTCATGATGCCACCAGCCGGTATGCCCGGCATGATGCCAGGTGTACAAATGTCCTCTTTCTCCACCGGTCCTGGTGGTCCTGGCGTTCCCGCTGCTCATGCTAATGCTCACCAACTACCCGCTGGCTTTGCACACATGGCCATGCATAGTGCAGCCATGGCAGCTAATGCAGCAGCTAATTCAGCAGCAACAGCAGCAGCCACTGCGGCAACGGCAGCAGCCACTGCGGCAACGGCAGCAGCCACAGCTAATGCTGCATCTGGTGTTCACCCGCCTGGTCCAGCTTCATCATCCGGCACTGCAGCTACGTCACAGAGCACACACGCCATGCCAGCATCCGCATCTGCGTCGAACTCCAGCAGCTCCACCAGCAGTGGCTCGACACCATCTCGTGCCTCGACAGCAGCCCCATCTGCTGCAAATGAACCGGCTGCTCCTAACCCCGGTCCCGGCCTATTCCCAGGCATGCCTATGCCAATCCCTATGATGATGCCACCCGGTGCTCATGGTGCTCAGCCAATGGGCCGTTCGCCGGTGCGTCATCAGACACGTGCACAAGTTGTACCGCCTGTTGGTAAGTGCATTTCATTTACACGTCACAGTTTTACCCACGGCTCATGACAATTCCACGTACTGAAAACTGCCTAGTGTTTGGGACGTATTATTTATGTTTGCGGGTGTTTTGCGAGGAGGGCATAGCGCGAATGCTAGCCAGCGCGAAATCAAACTTCAACAGTGCTTGTATGTGTTTGGCCACTGTGCGTCACAAGCATTTTCTTTCCCCTCGCGAACCAGTTGGTTTTGAGACATCATGAAGATATAGTCTTGCAAAGTGTGCAGTTTAGTGTGCTATCTATCTACATGTACAATGTGTATGTATGTCTGTGTGTGTGTCTGTGTGTGTGTGTGTGTGTCTGTGTGCATGTGCATGTGGTCTGTCCATGGCCCTGCCTGCAGCGGGATCCTCAATGATCAACATGTGCCCACATCCGCGCCATCGAAGCCTGGAGCCCGAGTCTAGCCCGGCCGCACAACCACATGCGCATGTTCACATCATACCTGGTATGCCGATGGGTATGATGCCACCAGCAGCAGGTGCTGCCTTTGGCGGCGTTCCCATGCCTGGACAACACAATGCTGGTGTACAGGGTCAGGGGGGTAGCGCACCGGGACAGCCCAATGTACATCATGTGTTCTTCCGCCGGGGACCGGATGGTAATATGGAGCCTGTGCCAGGTGCTGCTGGTGTTGGAGGTGCTGCTCCTGCTGGCACTGCTGCTGGTGTTGCTGGTGCTGCGGCGATGATGCAGCATATTGCCGCCGCCGCTGCTGCTCATGCTAGTGCAACGGCACCAGGTGGTCAGAATCCTGCTCAACGGCAACAGGCTGGGTCACGCTCTGCTACCAATCCATCTACTGGCCAGCCTCAGCCATCGTCCTCTTCGTCTTCAAGCAACCAGCACGGTCGAGTGCAAGTGCCAGCAGCGCTAATACATGGACTGTACCAGGAAGCCAGTAACCCACGTGAAGGTTGGCTCTCGGTCTCTCTCTCTCTTCTTTCTCTGATCTTTTTTCCACGCAGTTCCACGCACACGGCCACCGCAACAATCCTATTCTTTTGCCCTGGTTGTGTTCACCGTCGCGTTGACTTTGACTTTAGCTTAATGTATTACAACACCATGTGTACCCTACAGTGATGTATTTCTTACATTTAGCATGTATCAAAAATTCAGCAGATGGTGGTCATGGTTACCTGTGTTTACTTTTTGATGTACATGTGTTGAGGAGGTGAAGCTAAGAGTACAACAATCTTTGCATGTGTGTTGAAACTCTGCAGGTGTGTCAGTGCACGATGTTGTTGTTCAGCTTAGTCAAGCCGACTCTCCTATGGAGGACGAGGAGGAAGAGGGTAAGGCCTGTCTACCTGTTATGACCTGCATTGCGAAACTGAATTGAAAACGGGGTTGTCGACGTACAACCTGGGTTTAATCGCTATTGATTATGAACTGGTAAGGCGAGGCCCCGAATATTGGGGATCGACATAGCCGGTAAAATACGATATGATTGTGTACTTTTGCCATTGCTAAGAGAGGACGTAACCCCCAAGAGCGTGCCCCCCCCCCCCCCCCCCGGCTGATATAATACGTGTACAACGCACATTACATCATAAAGAAAAATGACGTCAACTTGAAGTTCTGTCGGGCCAGCACTGATAGTGAAGTTGCACATTCTTGAGGATTATGTACTCTTGCCGGCTTTGTATTGTTACTCTTGTCGTTACCTGTGCCCTCAATTTAAAAATCCAGATTTTGTTTTCTTTTCTCCTACAAGTGTGACAATGTTTATTTTGTCGTTTGTCTTTTTCTCTGTTTTGTTCCTGACCAGGTCCAGTTGGTGTATTGCTCTCTGCCGCATGCCGCCATTTGTCCATGCCAGACTTCTTGGCCATCACCCAAGGTAAGCATAGCGTGTGTGCCTGTGGTGCATGCATAGACACAGTTTCTGTGTGCGTACTTCTGTGTGTGTGTGTGTGTGTGTGTGTGTGTGTGTGTGTGTGTGTGTATGTGTGTGTGCGCGCACGTGAGTGTGTGTGTGGGGGAGGGGGGGGGGGGGTGCATGTGCGCGCTACACTGCTGCATTACTCATGATGACATCATGGATGTGCTACTGTGTGAAGGCCTGACTAGTGATGATGTCATGATTGTTTTCCTAATAACGTGTGTCGTGCTTGATGCAGGTGAGACAGCTCCACTGGTACGAATTGCCCCACAATTGCGCCAGGCACTGTACAATGACATACTGCATGGCGAGCCCTGGACGGAGCACTCACTGCAGGTACTTACCATGTGTGCACTGCACACTGCACACTGCACACAACTACTTACATGATGTAATTACTAATTAGTAATTGCACAGGCTGTGTGTGTACAGTCAGACCTCGCTTATCCGGTCCTCTTTTATCCGGATCCCTCGCCATCCGGAAGAACATAACTGGCTACAGATTACAGTTTTCAGAGTGCATCCAGCATAACCAGTGTTCAATTATCCGGTTCCCTCGCCTATCCGGATATTTTTGTGGGAAACGGATGTGTGCGGTTAAGCGAGGTCTGACTGTATGCTTATTGCTAGTATCACTGCTAGCTTGGGCCTGTACTGGTCGTGATTCTGCTAAATATGTGTATGCGTGTGCGCACGCGTGTGTGCGTACACGAGTGTGTGTGTGTGTGCGTGCGTGTGTGTGTGTGTGTTCACGAGAGTGTGCAAATGTGTGAGTTTGTAGCTGCAATCACCCCTTGTCGGGTCTGTATTCCTGGCACATTGCCTGAACACATTGACATTGTGCACATGTACCTGTACACCAGTGTACGGGGTTTGCGTGCCGTTCCTATCCAGCCAGGCTACTATTTCCTGTTGACACACTGTGAATGTACTGTGTATAGTGCTGATCGATGAAACCTGATCAAGTGTGTCAGTCAGTATTGCAGCCTTTTTGTGGAAATCCCAGTATTTGCAGGTCTATGGGCTGCACAACGCCCGGCGCGCACTCGATTGGATTTCATTGAGCTGCGCTGTATTGTCGACTGTCCTCCTCTGACTTGTGTCTGATTTGTTGGTGCTGACTGCAGGAAATTGCCAACCATGTCTCTTCAGACTGTGAGGACATGGTCCGGGAAGCCCTGGTAAGCGGCCGTTGCGTCTTTCTGGTAGGCCTTCTTGGTTTGGAGAGGAGGCGAAAATACTGGGGGTGAAACGAGTACATCGCTCGCTTGTCTGAAGCTCGATAGCTTAGCAAGTACTCGATAGATTGTCTGTGCATGTGCTGTTGTTTTATGTGCCTTGCTTGTCTCGTGCTATTGGCTGTTACTGTTTAGTTAGCACCTGCTCATCGTGAGGGAATGAGATATGCTTTGCGACCTCCACTGGCTTGCCTATTGGGCTTGTTATTAGGCAAGCAACGACGACTAGTACACTTTCTCTGTTATTCTGATTTCCGTGCTGAATGGTGCTCATCCGACATTCTGCATAAGCGAAGCTGTGGACGCAGCATACTGCTGCTACACTTCAACGCGGGAATGCGTATAATAATAATAATGTTTCAATTTGCTTCTCACTGGTTTGCCACGCCGTGTGCAACAAGCGGGTCTGTGGTGACACTTTGCTTGTTCTCTTCTTGTACCACACAGGTGGGTGTGCCGACTCGTACAGCAGTCCGCCTCTGTGAAACTACCCTGCAAGAGATCCGACAAGTGGCAGTAGTGTTCTTCCGAGGCCTGCATGAGACCGACCGTAAGCTCTAAGCCTTTCTTGCAATTCTCTAATAGATGTGCTGCTTGTACTGCTTGTGGGTTTTCATGGGTTCATTCCTTGTTGAATTTTTTCAGTGGTTTTTGTATAATTATATATATGTGGTGTTAAATGTTCTGTTCGGAATGGACTCCTGCGTGCCTTGCAGGCCGACATAACAGTAACTGGGTTTTGAAATGAGCGTAAATTGGTGGCAGATCCTGGACTGCTTGGCACTTCACTGAGGCTTCTTGTTTCATGCTAGGTTATTCACTGCCTGATCTTCCTTCTACGAGCATGCATGTACCGTAAAGTACCGCCAGAGCGCCCCACCTTGATTTTACAGTCACGGAAAGGAAAACCGTATGGCACAGTGCAACGAAGTTTGTACGGTGTGAGAACCTTGGTGTACAAGGTCGCACTTCGCAGATTTTTGTGTTGAGCTCGTGTCCACTTGAAGGTAAATTGAGTACGGATTGACTGCACGGCGTGCAATATGTGTACAAGGTTCGTGTTGTATGACCTACAGACAGGAGACCACCTCCACAATACGACCACGAAAGGACGAGATGGTGGGGCGCTCTCGCGGTACTTTACGGTATATGCCTATTAAGTTCATCACTGTCTTGAAGTCGGGCGTTTTGTGTCAATATGTTTGCATGTCTGCATGTACAAGTTCATCAATGTTTTGAAGTCGGACTATTTTGTGGATGTATATGTTTGCATGTGTGCAGCGTCTGCAGCCGATTACTATGAGCGCGTTTGGTCGCCTGTTCATCGTGAGATGGGGAATTCCCTGTCTGTAATGGCACACGGCCTGACGCAGGGCACGGCAAGTTTGCACGTTGTTCTGGAGCGGCTTCTTCAGGTGGGCACCGACTCCGCATGCAAGCTTTTCTGTGCTGTCATGCAACTGTGCAAAGCCATGGTGTATGCTGGCACTTGCTTGGCATGCACAGCTCTTGATATGTTTGCTTGTGGGCATGACCAGTCCTGGAGATGTCCTAGATAGGACATCACGGAACCAAGCATACATCTATGCTGTTCCCATAGTAATCGTGACACGTGACTCAAAACTTTGTGTCGCGTCCGAGGAAGATGAACATGTCGCACTCAAAACAAACGCAACGAAGGCCTTTCGTCTCAAAATTGGTCGTTCTCCTGGCGACTTGCCTCAAGCGAGTCGAGATTCGTATCTTGCCTCTTGCCTTCACAAATTTTATTTTCCTCGTGGAGTACGCCTGGACAAAGGAACTGGCAAGCGAATCGTTTTGGTCGCATTGAAAATAATATGCAAGTGCACGAGAGGATAGGCGAAGCAATTTGTGTTCGCACTTTCAGCAGAGCAGAAGCTGCTGCTGCGATGAAGTTTTTACTTTCGCCATTGGTTTTAGGCAGCAGAAGGGTCTGGCTGAAAGCGATGGCGATACGTCCATGACCACCACGCCCAATGTGGTACGTCCTGGGTTGATGTCCAAGAAAGACCGTCCAAGGTCCAGTTTTAGCCAAGAGCTGTCGTATCCAAGAAATCGAAAACGCCAACAGCAAGCTTTGGCCAAATAATATCTTCCAGGCAGTAATTTACGGGCCTAGTGCCTATTGCCTCGTCTTCCTCCTCTGCATGGCCAGGTTCGGGGCGAAATGAACGCACGGGGCGTGAAGAAACATTCCAAAGGCAAACATTCAAATAATTAGAACCAATCGTTTCCAAAGAAGCGCCGCGTGGCTACGAGAAACCCTACATGAAATCCCCAAACGAAAACGGCCATTCGGTCGGGTATTCGATGGCGAATTGAATATACACTGCCTCAATCCCCGCCGATCTCTGGTATTCTCCGCCTATTCCCTCAAACTTGACCAATTCAGAAAGAAATCCATCGCCATTACGATCGTGCATCCTCCACATACATTCAGAAATGCTCACGCATCACTTCTTTTCATCGCGTGTGAGCGACTGACGCTTCCATGACTACCCTGGGACAGGTGACCAATCAGAGTGCGATGTCCTAGATAGGACATCTCCCCGACTGATGACAGACATGGATCGGTCCATTTGTGGCACACGCCGAGTGTCGCTGTGCAGTCCCGTGTGCAGTGGAACTGTCTCTGTTGTAGTCATACCACTGCTATCACTGTTGTTGTTGTTGTTGTTGTTGTTGTTGTTGTTGTTGTTGTTGTTGTTGTTGTTGTTGTTGTTGTTGTGCTTGCTTATTGTGCTCTTATGGGTGTCGCCACCAATGGCATTGTTGTCATCCATGAATGGGGTGTTGGTGCTGCTTGTACGTGTGTGCTTGTTGTGTATTTGTGTGTTTCCCGTGTGTGTGTATCTGTTTGTTTGATTAGTATATGCTTGACTTGCAAGTTGAGCATCAGTCCATGGCGATGATGGCGCCAATGTTCTACGCCACCGTCATGCGTGGCATTGTGGAGCGCTTGCTTGCCTCGTCGGCTCTGACCGGTGCGGAGAGGGACGCGCGTCTGATCAGGGTATCGCCCACCACCAGTGCAACACCTACCAGTGCTCCTCCTGCTGCCGCCACCGCCGCCGCCAATGCAGCTATTGCTAGAGCCAGCTCTAGTACGCAGCAACCTGCCAGGAGCAGAGCTAGTACCAGCAGCAGCAGCACCAGCAGAACCGGAGCGGCTGCACAGCGCACCCCGCTGTCTGGCAGTTCCTCTTCAGTCAGCACAGGTTCATCAGCCACAGCACCAACACCAGTAAGTGCTTAACGCTTTCGATGTGCATATCCCATAGCCCATTGTGCATACACCGTAGTCCATATACCCGGCTAGTTGTGTTGCACTGTGTAATGTCCATGGATACGAGTATGTACAAACTGCACCTCTTCAGTCTTCACAGTGCTATGTTGTCTAGTGTGACTGTAGATAAGTTTGAACAGCTGTTCAGGCGGCTACGCGTATGGGTGGTGTTGACTGCTGGAAATTTGGCACGATAATCGTGTAATGTGCCATGGCTAGGGTGTGCATCCACCAATTGGTGTGACCACATTTATTCGTGCCCCCGCCCCGCCGTACACTGTGTTAGTTGTCAGGCACTGTAACAGCTGTGTATATGTACTAGTACATGGTTGTATGGCTTACACACAAAGCTGCTACGCCTTCACGCCATGTGATGTGATACTTTTTTAAGTAGCTTATGAATTTCACACCAAATAATGTGGTATAGCTGTGTGTCACACTATGTGGTGTACATGTCCATTGTACCTAGTGCATTATACGATTGCAATCAAGCCGATGTGTGAACCTTAGTGACCTGTTCTGCGCCTTTTGTTTGTACTGGTTTCATCACATTACTACGTGTTAAGTGCTGCCGGCTCAGCAATAGCAGCATATTACCCATATAGGACTCCGAAGTACTAGTGTCAGCTCATTGATATGGCTCGAGGTGCAGTGCTTCCAGGATTAGTCAATCCCATACGCCGTGTGCTGCAGGCTGGATGAGTACTTTGCGTGTACAAGTATTGCGGACTGCAGGACCGGGGACAGTGCTATTCATTTCCTACAACGCCACTCCAAAGCGCCGTCACTTTTACCCTTTGCATTTGTGTGAGCGTCTCTCTCTCTCTCTCTCTCTCTCTCTCACACACACACACACACACACTCTCTACACACACACACACACACTATCTCTCTCACACACACACACTCTCTCTCTCTCACACACACACACACACACACACACACACACACACTCTCTCTCTCTCTCTCTCTCTCTCTCACACACACACACACACACACACACACTCTCTCTCTCACACACACACACTCTCTCTCTCTCTCACTCTCACTCTCTCTCTCTCTCACACACACACACACTGTCTCCCTGCATGTTCTATGCTGTTTTTGTCAGATTGCAGAGTCGTCTGGTCAGCCTGAGCAGGACATGGCCAGCGAAAGCGCACCAGCTGCTAGTGCCACACAGCGACGGGAGCAGGGACAAGAAGAAAGCATGGAGGAGGACTGGCAAGAAATGGTACCAGCTGTAAGCACACATTTCCCCGGCATAGTGAAACTTCAGTAGAACAACATACCAGTACTTGCAAGGACCGTAAAATATAAACTGTATCGTTGTGGTACTGTATGTCCAAGGTCGAATGACCGGTATAGTACCGTAAAGTACCGCCAGAGCGCCCCACCATCTCGTCCTTTCGTGGTCGTATTGTGGAGGTGATCTCCTGTCCGTAGGTCGTACGACACGAACTTTGTACACATACCGTACTGGCAATATATGTTGCCGCATAACGCGTAACGCAGGGGGGTGCGGCGTAACGCCCGACCAGGCTAGTGCGACAAATTTTCGTTGAGTTCGTAACGCGCGTCCGGCGGGGTGCGGCGATCTTTTCATTGCAGTTTGCACTGCAAAAAAAGGCTTAAAACTGTGAAATCACGTGTACCGCGTGGTGAAAAGTTCAAAACTGGACGCAGCAGGAAGTCCTGACACTCGAAGGCGCATCATTCAGTGGTTGGCGATCTCAATGGTTTCTTCTTTCCCGAGGTCGTTTTGCGAAGAAGAGCGATGTGTTTACCAGTTTCCCTGTGACAATGCAGAAGTCTCTATTCGCCTTCGGCGTGAAGAAAATCACGCCCAAGCATCATTCAGTGGTTGGCGATCTCAATGGTTTCTTCTTTCCCGAGGTCGTTTTGCGAAGAAGAGCGATGTGTTTACCAGTTTCCTTGTGACAATGCAGAAGTCTCTATTCGCCTTCGGCGTGAAGAAAAAATGATGCGGCAAAAGCAAAAAAAATGATGCGGCAATAGCAAAAAAGTGATGCGGCAATAGCAAAAAAAGGACTGCGGCAATATAGAAACCTGTGTAACGGCTCCTGTGCGACTTTGCATGTAACGCCCTGCGTGCGGCAAACATGTGCCAATGTAACGCTTCATGGCCTCACTGCGGCAACATATATTGCCAGTACGGTATTACACGTTGTGCAGTCAATCCGTACTCAATTTACCTTCAAGCGGACACGAGCTCCACACAAAAACCTGCCAAGTGTGACCTTAGTACACTAAGGTTCTCACACCGTACAAACTTCGTTTCACTCTGCCATACGATTTTCCTTTCCCTGGCTGTAAAACCAAGACGGGGCGCTCTGGCGGTACTCTACGGTATTAGTATGATGACCATGGTCCTCCAAAATAGTATGTGTGTAAGCCAGAGTATATTGTAGCATGGTACATTCTCCCGGGGGGGTTTCTCTGTTCTCTAGCATGGTACATTCTCCCGGGGGGGGGGGGGGGGTTTCTCTGTTCTCTATCATGGGACAGTGGTATACAGAATCCTTGAAATTCAGTGAATATGCTCGGGCGAAGATACCGTATATTCTCTATTATAAGCGCCGTGCTTATATTTTTTCAACACCCCTCTACCCCGTGCTTATATTGGAGACCGCGCTTATATTGGAGACTGCGCTTATATTTTTTCAACCAATACAATCCATCAGAGCAAGAAGAAATACATGCTAGATATCATGCATGCAGCATTGATTTCCACCAAGACCGTGCTAATAATAGAGACTGTGCTTATAATGTTTCGAAAGGTGCTCACAGTGTGCTAGTATTAGAGACTGTGCTAGTAATGGAGACCTGTGCTTATAATAGAGAATATACGGTAACAACTACAGGACCGGCGGAAGCAATATTTGATTGGTCTGGCCATACCCTAGCCTTTCATTCTTTTTTGTATGACATGGCGGGTATGACACAAGACCTCTCAGCAGTAGGCAAAAAGTTGGTCCGGCCATGGCCGGACCAACCGGAGCAGTTCCGCCGGGCCTGAACTAACAAGATGGTGTGCATCCACACAATCGAGAATTACTCGCGTGCCTAGTGCCCCAGCTTATCCAACTCCATGTAGTATTATGCATGTACAAGTATGCACCCTGCTGATGCTCGGAGCTGTATGGTCCCACGTCTTGTGCATGTGCTTGTGTGTGTGTGTGTGCGTGCGTGCGTGCGCGCACGCGCGCGTGTGTGTGTACGTGCATGTGTACGTGCATATGTGTATGTGTGTGCGTAGTGTGTGCATACATGTGGTCTAGTGAATGTGATTATTTGATGCACTGTGGATAGCACGATTCAATGTGACGTTATGAGATGAGATAATCTATGTGCAACTATCACAGCTTTGATCAGTGCACACCTAAGCAGTGGAAATACCATCACTAACTTGTGTGCATCATGTGTGCTGTTTGTCCTTATAAATATTAGAGTTGGATTCCTGTGATAGCTGAAGACATTGTCAGACAGAGGCTCACTTCATCTCGACGCCCACACAGTGATGCCTACTCCAGTACCATGGCCAGTAGCAAGCGCAGAAAGGTACGTGACGGCTTGTTTTGATGCGCGGCCACTGTCTTGCGTGCGTTTCTTTGTTACCGGTGTGTTTCCCAGTTGAACAGCTGAGTTGGTGTGTATGGTAGTGAATGTGAGTAAACAATGCATTTTGAATTGCGCCGCTTGCTTGTTGGCTGACATGTTCATGGACTTAGTAGTGGCAACCTGCCGCATGCCTTGCACTCCATCGTCTGTCTGTATGCTGTGTATACTGTGTGTATACAGTAGGCAAGCTGCACTGCTCACGCTGTGTGTCCTGTGTATCCATGTTGTGCTTGCTGTATGTGCTGTGTGTGCTGTGTGTGCTGTGCGTGTACAGTAGGCAAGTAGTTGCACTTCTCACACTGTGTGTCCTGTTTATCCATGCTGTGCTTGCTGTATGCTGCTGCAGACATCCACTACTGGCAGCACTGCGAGCAGTGATACGGCCGGCAGTGCAGATAGTGACCACCCATCGTCGGAAAAGCTGCCAATGGCCTTGCGCAAAGCTATTCGAGATGCCGGTGTTGAGCCAATTACCACTGTGAATGGTAAGCACTCTCGTCAAGCTAAATAATAAATACTGTGAATTCATTTTCATATCACACTGTCAGCCCGGACCAATCATTCGCGCCATCCAAGCTTGCAGCCTATATCAATCATACTAGTATCTTCTAAAATTGTAGTCCAGCTGCTGTCTGATGATCGGTTAAAACTTAAAACCGTTAAACTCAGAGTTACAGCAGAAACGCTTTTGATTCCTCTGAAGGGTGTGCACTGTACCGACGAGGAGACAATAGTCGTAAAATAACGTTAGCAATGAACGAGAGAGCTTGGAAGCTCAGGGCCCTACGCTATGCTTTTTTGCCTTGATGACCTAGACAAAAAAAGTGTTGAGTTCGAAACAAGACGACTGACGACATATCCAGACATTACAACGGGAACAGGTAGGTTGGGGGAACGACATTTATTATAGACGACGAGACAAGAGACCAAGACGAACGAAACGACTACATTGAAGAGTGAGAAAAGAGAGAGAGAGATCAAGTCTGAACGGCAAGATAAAGGGCCTGGGTAGCTATGGCAAATATGGGCGCGCAAGTAGCTACCCAGGCCAACGGAGCAAAAGGAGACAAAAGGTGAGTACGTAAGTGCATGCAGGCCAGCTAGAAAAGGTACGGGAGGAGGTACCTAACATACCACCCCTCCATGAAAAAAAATCCCGCGTCCTCGCGGAGAGAAAAAAAGAGAGAAAAAGATTTTTAAAAATGACTGGAGGAGAAAAAACACACACATATTGCACGCGCGCACGGATCTCACGAAAGTGTTTACTAAAAATGCACTGCAGATCATTCCTGTACTACATAGTGTGTAATAACTATTGGAGTTTGACGAGGAACGTGAATTACTAGTATTTTGCACGGCTAATACAGCCTAGTTACACTTTTGCTAAACATCCAAAAATTAGAGCGTGGCTCACCATGATCGGACCCCTAACTTGGTAATGTTTCACGAACACACGCGCGCGCACACACACTACAAAAAAATTCACGAAAATAAATTTGACGAAGAAGGAACGCATACAAAAAAAGAAAGAGAGAAAGGTAGCTGACCTGAGCTGCATGGCTTGAACGACACGACGAGACGAGGTTGGCGTAGGAGAGATGAGGTTGATAGAGACGAGACGAGGTTGGCGTAGGAGAGACGAGACTGACATGGACGAGACGAGGTTGACAATTTGACATAGACGAGACGAATGGCGGTTGAGGACGGCTGGGCATGGGATGATCTCAGGGTCGTGGGTCGCTCAATAATCGGGCGCCAATGTTGAGTTCGAAACAAGACGACTGACGACATATCCAGACATTACAACGGGAACAGGTAGGTTGGGGGAACGACATTTATTATAGACGACGAGACAAGAGACCAAGACGAACGAAACGACTACATTGAAGAGTGAGAAAAGAGAGAGAGAGATCAAGTCTGAACGGCAAGATAAAGGGCCTGGGTAGCTATGGCAAATATGGGCGCGCAAGTATCTACCCAGGCCAACGGAGCAAAAGGAGACAAAAGGTGAGTACGTAAGTGCATGCAGGCCAGCTAGAAAAGGTGCGGGAGGAGGTACCTAACAAAAGCATAGGGATGTTATAAATTCTTAGAAGTTTCTACTTTTTGTTTTTAGACATAACCTGGGATTCGAACCCGCACTATCGCCCTGCATGCATCCCCAGATGCACTTCGCATACATACTAATTCTTCCAAGTTGCTTCACGTTATGATCTTGTACTTGAAAGCCCTATTTGAATATGCATTGTGGCCAGCCGTCTTTGATTGTACGGTACGGTATGGGATAGGTACGGGACAGGTACGGGACAGGTACGGTCGAGGGTAATACGACACCGTCTACCGCCTTGATGACGGCAAAAAAGAAAAGGGATGTTATAAATTTTTCAATTCTATTTTTTTCAGGCATTACCTGGGATTCGAACCCGCACTATCGCCCTACATGCATTCCCCCATACACTTCGCATTCATACTCATTCTTCAAAGTTGCTTCACGTTATGATCTTGCGTTTGGAAGCCCTATTTGAATATTGCGGCCAGCTGTATGCTGCTGGTATGTGGCCAGCTGTGTTTGATGGTACGGTACGGTACGGGACAGATACGGGATAGCGCCAGGCGTGACACAAACAAACAAACACACAAACAAACACCAAATTAAAGCTATGTGGACCCTGGCTAGCGCCAGACGTTACTGAAGTAACGTCTTAAGCCTAAAATCAAATGTTCACCAGTTGTAGTCTTTGGGGTGCTGAGTCGAATGGTCTTGGTCCGAGGAAGCTGAGACGCTCCCTTCCTCCTTTTTCCCAATCGAACTCGCGCACTTCCACCGAAACTGGGTGACTGCGCCCTACTAGATGGGGATTTGTATGCTAAATGTCACTAAACGCGCCATTTCGTTCTTAGGGGCCATCCGTAAAATAGATATTTATTTAGAAACAAAAACTAGTCGTTTAGCGGGGAGGGGGTTGAGCGCCTGTTCGTTTCTCGAAAAATATTGATGCACAGTTTGTATGTGTGGGCACGTCCAGAAAAGAAAACAAAAAATATCGATTCTATGCATCGTTTGTATTGTGTTCGTTTCTGAGGGAGGGGGAGGGGTTGAAGAGAAACGACTAGTTTTCGTTTCTAAATAAATATCGGTATTTACGGATGGCCCCTTATAAAAGCACGGATGACCGCGATTGGCCCATATGTTGTAGTCTTTTGGATGCTGGGTCGACTGGTTTTGGTCCGAAAAGGCTGCGATGTAGCGTTCGGGCCTTATTCCCAATCGAACATGGCTGAACAAGCTACAATTGGTGAAAATTTGATTTTAGGTTTAACTTCCCCTTTAACCTGGTACCCTCTGTTTCTCAATCATGGTCTTAGACCATCACAGAGGGTACCAGGTTCAAGTCCTGCTTGGAAGCGGAAGGATTTTTTCCAGCCGTGCTGCGACCCACAGTTAATTGGGAACTCGTGGCCTGGCACGAGGGAAACATGGATGCAGTGAATGGGATTTCGGTCTTTGACCACTTTGTGGTGGGTCTGATCTACTCACCTCCCACCGTTTAGGAGCTGCATCTGCGCCTTGATCCAAGAGGGTGGTGGCGTTCCTGCGGATGCGGAAAACTGGGCCTTTGGCCGAGTCTCACGCGAACCGTGAAATTTTTTTCTTCCCCTTTAATAATTGTTTTTACATGGTTTGAAAAGAGTGCACAATAAGCCACAATTAGTTTATTGTTTTCTCTGAGACAAAAATGCGATAATACTCATAAAAAGGACACACTTTAGGCTCATTACGAACATCTTGATAGTTTTTGTTTTCACAAGTATACTTTCAAGCCTTCTCATCAGGTGAAATACAGGCAAGGGAAAGGAACAGGAACAGTGGATTAAGTACAGTAAGGAGGTGGTAAAAACAGCGCAAAGAATTAGATAGCTAAAGTAAACAGCGAAAATGCGTGACCTATACACATAGCAATAATGACAAAAAAGTTCAAAGGCGAGAAAACTCAATAAGCGTGACATGTAGTGCGACAACAATGAGCCTGAAGTGTGTCCTTTTTATGAGTAATTAATTTATTTGTAGAAAGGAAATGGACATATGGATATGAGTTAAGAGTAACTCTCCATCACTGTAACTGGATACTATATCCAGTCAGAAAGTGCAATAACTAGGCACAAAACTGACAGAGTACTGAGACATTTGACGTCCTGACACCTAGCTTCAACACATCTCCGTAGCGCTAACCGACAGCCTTCCAACTTGGAAGGTTCAAGGTTATGGAAAGACCAAGGAGGGGAAGGCAAGCGCAACGAAAACGAGCAAAAGCTACAGTGCCAACGGAACAAAGAATGTCGATTATTACTGGACGATAACGAGACCAGTACGATATTTGACAAAGCGGTCTAACTACAATTCGAAGCAGCAAAGCAGCACACCACCCAACTTGGGTGGGGCATAAATATGTCCTTTTCCTTTCTACATTTATTTATGGCTCAACATCCGAGTTTCGAGTTTATTCTTTGCTATTTCACTGTGAATAGTGTTAGTAAATAGCCAGTGGCTCTGATGACTGCAATGTATAGCACACGCATTGAGACTTGATAGCTGCAGGCGCGTGGCTCGTGTGTAGTCAGCATAGTCCGGTCGCCACACCAGAAAATAGCCGTCATACGTACTGCATAGTCAAGATAGGCAAAATGGGGGCTATGACAGTATGAGGTTGCCCGTGGTACATGGTCACCACAGTACGGACATGCTCTGGCACATTGTCACCACACCACAGATGTTGGAGCTACGCCCCTGAGCTCATTCTGTACTCCTCTCATGCTGTTCATGCTATCATTTATGTCACACGTGATTTTCCGTTGCCGCATCGGGCTGGAACTCCGAAATCATTTCAGGGCTCTTTCTTTATAGGGTTAATGCTCCTTGTAGGGCTTTTTTATGGGGTTAATGCTCCTACAGTCCATTCAGAAAAAGATGATATCCTAGCTTTTGGCCATGAACGGGTCAAATTTTGAGTTTTCGTCACATTTTTTGGCAATCCCCCATGGAATGCTCTTCCAATTGTGTTTTTGAAGTCTATTTCTCCAAAAAGCAAGCCATAACAAGAATAGGATTTCGGCGAGGTTTTGCCCCCAAAGCACTGAATTGGGTAAAAACCATGAAAATCCAGACCGTTCACTCCACTTGCATAACAGTACATTTGCGGTTCGAACCCCAGTTGAGGTGCCTTTTTTGGACCCTTTTTCAAGTTTCGAATCGCGCGGCACTGCACAATGTACCACAAAATTGCCAAACACGGGAGCTCTCCAGAGCCAGCGCTCATCTTTTTCTGAATGGACTGTAGTAGGGTGCTTACTTTATGGGGTTACTGCTCCCAGTAGGGCTCTTTCTTTATGGTGTTACTGGTAGGGCTCTTTTTGATGACATCAGCACTATTGCTTGTTTTGTTCTCACCCAGACGTGCTGGCAAGCGCTACATCCGACACGGGTCTGCAGCAGGCATATGAACCCGCCCTTCAGAATCTGGTGGCGGAGCGACTCCAGACGGATGCGGACTACGATCCACAGCGCTTTCCCAACTTGCGTTCCCTTTTCGGTTAGGATCTCCACTGGTCTTTCACCTTTATTTGATTTCAGGTTGCAGATGACCGGAACAAACAATGCATAAGGTTTGTTTTCCTGAGTTATGTCACAACAACTACCTGTGTAAGTCTAGTCTAGAACATGTTGCAGCAGTCTAGTTTTGCAGGCTATTTTGTGGTGAGAGTAATGCTATTTCTTGCTCTTCATTGCTCTAGCCGCACCCGCACATCATTTTAAATATAGGCATATTGTATCATTTCAGTGGAGTCTGCCTTCACGTCCCAAGAAAGCTTCACAGTCCAAGAAGTGAACAAAATCTTCCTCGTCTCGTGTTGTGACAAGATTTCACTTCAATCATCCCCACACCATACACACCATACACACCATACACACCATACAGCACACCATACACACCATACAGCACACCAGCATACAGCTGTATTTTGGCATTGTTATAGAATTTCTATCTCCATTTCTGTTGTGCTCCCATTTACATTTATGTCACTGCATGCATGCACGCACACCTACCTGTACACGATGGAACTTTTTTTGCATGCTTGGCTCAAAACAAGAAAAATAATAATGTTATCGCCGCGCCGCCTATCGATATATCGTGACCCATGCTGCCACACACATGCGTATCTACACGTGGATCAATCAGCTTGCATGGCTGCCATGATTACTAGCTTTCAGTTCGAGTTCAATCAGTTTCATGGTGCATGCATGTGGGTTGCATTGGAGATGCAAGTGACCGTATGCAGTTAGTCCTGCTAGATTGACGTCGCTTTGGCTAACTTGCTGTGCTTGGGAGGGTGAACAAGTCGACCTCCGAACAAGTCGACCTCTCGGCGTTGACCTTCAAGTCACGAAACTTCTCAAATGTCCGATCTTGCCCGTGTCTGGGGATGCGTTCGAGGACGAGAATATAATTCACACCGCTACTTTCAGGTCTCTGTTACCATGGTTATAGCTTCAGTGTGCAAGTCATACTTGTACACGTACTTGATTGAGGCAATGAGTACTGAAATCAGTGCCAAACCTACAGCACCAATTATGTATTCTCTAGCCTACTTGTAGGCAAGCACTTGCATGCACATACTACAGTCATTGAGTAAAGAATGTTTATGTGCGAGTACTCTTGCTTGTAGTTGTGCCAAGAGTTATGCTCCCTAGCCTAGGCTATAGTATAGAACTCATTATCATAAAACTCAGGTGAGCTCATGAGAGACATAATTATTATGTCTCTCATGAGCTCACCTGAGTGGGCAATGGGCATTCTGTGAGTTATCATGGGAAGCGCAGTGTTTGAAATGCTGAATATTTCCAAGTACGAATCGGGAGTAGTCGGCGCACGACGCCGTCTCCTGTTCACACTCGAATTGCAGCCGTTTTGTACGCTCGCGTCCCCGTCTACGGTATGAAAAGTAATAATAATAGTACAGCACGCATATAGCTCATATGAAAAATCAAATGAGGGTCATGCATCTGTCGACAACGTCGAGCCAGTGCGTTCTGTCTGAGGCAAGTTGCTCCGCTTCCAAAAGAGACATATTGAGAAGTAAAAGGTCATTCCTAATGTTGTCTACCCATCTGGTCACTGGGCGACCTCTGGGCTTCTTTATATCTGTTATATTCATTGCCATGTGAAGGGCTTTGTACGACACAGCGTCCTTCCCTTCACGAATGACATGTCCAAACCATAATAAGCGCCGGCGTCTACAGACTGCACTTATTGGGCATTGAGCAGTTTTAGCATAAAGAGCATTATTCGAAATTTTATTGGGAAAGATGATTCCAAGTATGTATCTGAGTTTACGGCGGTGCCATACATCAATTTTGCTTTCTAAGGCTTTTGTTAGAGTCCATAGCGCGCAGTTATATAGGAGAACTGGCAAAATGAGACAGTTGAACATGCCTAAGCGGGACTGCTGGGTATGGCGTTTCCATGATACACTGGAAAATGCCCGGTTCGCTGCTATGATACGTGCATCAATGTCCTCCGCTGACCCCAGACGAGAACCCAACAGTTTGACCGACCTCCAGGAGGCATCTGACTTTGTAGCTGTTACAAATTGTGTTTTGCTGATGTTTAGTTTTAAGTTGTCTTCTGCGAAGATGGGTTCGCATTTCTCTACGGTTGCTTCAACTGCTGTCCGGCTGTGGTCATGCACTGTTGTATCATCTGCATACAGGGTGAATTTAGTAGGTAGATTGACTTGTTCTGGGCAGGCTTCTCTGATCCTCTGCATTGCACCTTCTGCGTAGACAATATACATAAGGGGTGACAGGGGGTCCCCCTGCACCACTCCAACATTAGTTGGAAATGACTGACTGAGCTGCTTTCCCAGCTTCACACAAGCAGAGGTTTCGGAGACTAGTTGCTGAATAGTGCTAACATGTGCACCTGCCGAAGCCAGACGGTCAACAGCAGTCTGCCTGATTATTGTATCAAATGCGCCACTGAAATCTAAAAGCGCCGCTGAGTAACTCCAGTCTCCTAGCAAGGCCCTCTCGCACATCATTCTTGTGAAGAATACTCCGTCCGCAGTCGACCGCCCAGGGCGGAAGCCAGCCTGGCTTTCAGGCACAAAGGAGTCCACGAATGTAGTGCAGCGCTGTGTGAGAATACGGGTCAGGACCTTTCTGATCACCGACAGAAGCATAACTGGTCGGTAACTTTTGGGGAAGCCGGCAGGCTTATTTGGCTTATATATGGGCACGATCAAACCGCGTCTGAGGTCTTCTGGACAATACTTTGCCAGTTGAACAGCGTTGAAGAATGTTGTTAACCAAGTGGTGATTGCATCTTTACCGGCCTGCAGCAAAACAGCGGAAACTCCATCCTGTCCAACAGCACCACCCGGTTTTTGCCGTGAGATTGCTGCTCGAACTTCTTCCTGAGTAAATGGCTCCTCATCAGGTGTTACCTCTCCATCTGCTGGGTGGTCGACTGCAGCAGGGACGTCATCGCGATGGAATACGGACAAGTAATACTTGCGGAATTCATCGAGATTCCACTGGACGTCCGCCATGATTTCACCATCTTTGTTTGCAAGTCTGACAGGTGGCTGGCTGACTGAGGAACGAAGTTGGCGGATGTTACGAATTGCATTGTAGTATGACCGTGCGTCAGGCCGCAATGCATCTGCTTCTGTTGCTTTCTCCTGCCAAAATTGGTCACCCTCCTTTCGTAATATTGATCGTATTTTATGCAGTATTTGATTGCGTTCTCTTGCTAGCAGTTGCCGTCTTTCAGGATCACGTTCCGCATCCTTCTGGATGTGAAGCTCTTTCTGCCGTTGCGACAGCGTAGACACTTCAGTACTCATGCTGCGGACCGACTTGTGTCCAACCTTTGCCCTCCCAAATGCACCTAGAGCTGCACCATGCACAACCGTCACAAAGCCATCCCACAGGTTATCAATAACTTGAGGCGATACTTGGGAGAGCTGGATCTCCGGAAGATTTTCAAGTAGTGCTGACTGATAGAGTTTCCTGGTTATCTCTGTAGGTTGGTTGTATTTGGAGAAGCATCGCTCCTTAGACTTTGGCGCAGGCTTCGCTGGTCCAAATGAGAGACGAAAGTCGGCAATTACCGGATGATGATCCGATCTGGTGCGGAATCCTCCATATGATCTTGCATTGGTGACTGATGTTAGTCCACCAGTCTTCACTGCGATGAAATCAATCATATTCCGCACCGCACGGCCGTCAGAGTATGTCAATCCATCTGCAAACCATGTGGAGCGATGCTGTAATTTGTGCTTGAACAGAGTGTTGCAAAGCACCAGCCCATGCTCACCACACAGGTCTAAGAGTCTATCACCATTGGCATTGTTAGATGTATGTTTGGAGTAAGAACCTACTGGGCCACTTCTCCCTCCGACCGAGCTCCCTACTTTGGCGTTAAAATCTCCAAGTATCCACAGTTCATCTCTCCGTTTCACTTGGCCTGCAATGGAACTCAGGACGGAGTAGAAGCTGTCAGCTTCAGCAGGATATTTTGTAGAGCGCTGCATGAAAAGTAAAGTTAAGAAGAACTAGTATTCGTAACTCCATTGGATAAGTCAATGTGTATTCACTGGGTAAACCATACGGATAAGAAGAACTCCCGTTATTGCAAACAAATATCATCGGTCCCTTGGTGTTCGTCCTAAAGAGGTTACACTGCATGCATAATCCTACACATCGAAGTGACATGACGTGACGTCTGTGGATCAGGGAGTCGTATACGCGTAAAATACCGGTACTTAGTATTTTACGACTCCCTGCTGTGGATCAACAGCTGTTGTCGACTTGTCGTCCACGTCATCTCGACAGTATGCGCATTGCATTGCACATGCATGATCGTGTAGTCTACGTACACGTGTACACTTGACGTTTGCATGATATGATCGCTTGAATTATGTGCAGAAAATCGGGCACGACAGTTAGTTATCTTTAGCCTCGGTATCCTCTTGTACATTGTACTTTTCAACCGAACACCTAAGTCCTTTCTCTATCTCATCTGTGTTCGTGCAAGCTCTGTCCTTGCCAAAGGTAATTGTAGGGTGAGCTAAGTACTCAGGCCTCGTTCCGCTTCACAAGCTTTTCCATCTCTTCATCAGTTTGAGGTAGATTTCTGTGGACGTTTCTAAGAGTAAATGTCGCCTTCAGTTACAATGCAGAAGTCACTGTTCATCGCTGTTATTGTCTGCAACGTCTTGGTAGCGTTTGGACACCAGCCTGGTATACCCAACCCTGATCTCTTCGAGCATGCAAAAGATGCGGAGTAAGTAATGCTGTGTCGCACACATAGTGTCCTTAGCATTTCAACACGAAATGTAAATTATTGTTATGTTGTAGAATGTTACGTCCCCTGGAGGCACGCTATAGACGTTTCACTGTATATGTGCCCCGTGGGTCCTGGTTGTAGTGCTATCCCATGTGGTGCCTCTGGGCTCGCCCTGCTGAGTGAATGCCATGTACCGCGTGGTGGAAACTCTGTACAGTTGATCATTTAAAACATTTTAGGTTCATGGAATACACTGCACACTCACACACGCACGCACACACGCACATACATACACCCACACACACACACCCACACACACACCCACCCACCCACACCCACACACACACACACACATGATTGAGAAGAGATCACCATTTCCAGCAGAAGTGAGGAAGATAACTCACCGGCGCATAAAGGCTCTGCTTTTGAGGCACAATGTTGCAGTATTGTATAACGACAACGCCTGCTAGCAATGTTAACTTGCCAAGCTGTTCTCCAGTTAGTCAGCTATACAATGGTCCGCTTCTGTCTATAAAAGCCGTCATCCCGTCAGTTCCACAGTGACTCGTGACCATGCGCATGCACAGGCTGTACTGCCTTGTCCTTTTGCTGCGCTGCAACTGTCGATGAACACTTGGGCGATCAACCATCTCCCGTTAGCCATTGACGAATAGACGTAGTTACAAGAGTGTGCAGCTTGGCGGTCCATTCGGCTATGTCACTACGGAATTTCTCCAGGTCATCATCGTTCTCCCGCCGGCTTTTGGCTCCCTGATGCCATCGTACGTAGCGTAGACAGCATTTGAAAGTCCTAATGACACACACGTACAGCACTCAAAGTAGAGAAGCAGATGTGGTGGTGGAGTTTGGACTAGAATAATGAGGAACAGGCCGAAAGTTGCTGCTGGCTTTTCTGACGATGAAGAGAAACAGATAGTGAAAATTGTAGATTATTGAGGCTGTAACCTCATACTGCTGTCTGCATACATCCATGATAATATTGATAAGCTTGGAAAGGTCTGCTCCTGCTAGTTGAGCAAACTAAGTACATGTACCTGCAGTCTTCGCTGTACATACCTCTCTATACCGTAATCATGGTAATGTTAGAGCGTATGGGGCACAGGCAAAACAGGCAAATAACAATGACCGTAATTCTTCTGTTGCTTCGAGTTTCGTATGAAGACGCATAAAACAATGCCAGGTGCAGCGATTCACTTTGCATATGAGGTAGTGGAGGTGTGGACGTGTTGCAGCCCGGGTGCTATTGCGTTCTGTCGAGATTGCAAGCCGTGGGGCGCTGTATTTGGCAGCATGCTGACCGGATTGCGTTTACTTCATTGAAGTAGTACAGTAGTCCAGTAGTACAGGTGTGCTCGGTGAAATCCAACCCAACGTGTAGTACTTGTCGCCCTCAACTCGCACGGGCCCTTGACACCCTGGAAGTGGTACGAATGCGGCTGTGCATACACATGATGCGCAAGTACATGTACAGTACAGTGATGTAATCGGAGCTGGTCCAGGGTGCCAGATTTGCACTTTAGGTTGGATCTCAGGGAGCGCAACTGCAAGTTAGCAGAGGTTGAGGTGTAAGTCCTGGCCAGTGAACTGTGATAGTGACGTTTGTGGTCGCCCTGGACAGGGGTGTGAAGTGCATTATATTGGCATGTGCATGCACCAGCACCACGTACACACCTGCAGCAGCCCTCCATTATGTAGTACAGCCGTGCTAGTAGTACATAGCACCCTGCTTCCTGAGGTGCTTTCCTATTTGCCAGTTACACTACTGCCTATGACCTCATGCATTCATGCCAGCCACAATTGTCACCAGTGTACTGAGCCATTCTTGCTAACCTGCTGTTCTTGTGTGTGTGTAGGTGTATGATATAGAGGCTGCTGTTGCCAACACTTTGTACATGTATCACACACCTTTGCTATGGCTCATATGGCTCATTGCAAGTTTTGTGTGAGAGGTGTCATTGACTTTCTTTCTCAGTTGTTTGTGGTGGGCATCCCGGGATGCATGTATGCATGTGGTGGTGGTGGTGTGTGTATTGGTGAAGGCCACTTGTCACCATGGTCACATCCAGGGGCTCACCGTTGTGTATAAACCGGTAAGCCCGTGGCTAGGTCTTTTCTCTCCTGTGTTGTATGTACCGACTGCAGGCACTTGAAAGAACATGTTCAGGAATATGGCGGCACTGTGGATTCACTGAAGGATGATGATATGCTCTTCCACTTCTTCAAGGAGCACGACACAGACAAGAACAACAAACTGGATGGACTGGAGGTGGCACACGCCCTTACTCACTACGACGCCAAATCTGAAAAGGAGGAGTCTGGAGTAGATGATGCCGAGATGCTGCAGTTGGTGGATCAAGTATTGAAGGAACAGGATAAGAACAACGATGGCTATGTGGATTACATGGAGTACACGATGGCTTACAATCATCAATAAACTGCCAGGGATCCTGGGCAAAGCGTTGATTTGTGACTGTGGAACGTGTATCCGGGCTGCTGTGCTCCCAGAGTCGAATCTACTACTATGCGATCTGCATCATACTGTGCTGAGGCAGACATTGTTCAGTGCACCAGTGTCCACTGCAGTGCACCCTGCATCGTGACATACTCTGTAGATATAGACACACATGATGGTGTAGCATGGTGCAATCTCATGAAACCATCATGCTTGTGTGCCTCTGAGACTTGCGTACCTATTTATATTGAGCTTTTGTTTCGTTCTGAAATTTCCTATATCTCATTGCTCCTTGTACATTTCAAGTACGCCAGCTACCACATTTTTTGCCACAGGCTTGTGGATAGAAATGAGTTTTTAGTTTTCTGTCCCCATTGCCGCATTGTACAGAAGCCAATAGGTCTTGAAGAAAGATTTTCTTGGTGAATTTGTCACAGGTCTCGTGGTAGACTCTGGTAGATTGCCGTGAAGTATCTCGAGAGCGCCCGACCTCGTGCTTCCTTCTGTGGTCCTGTTTAGAGGTGGTGTCCTGTCAGTGTAGGTAACACCGAGAGTCCATAACCCCGGCGTTACGGACTCGGTAATACGACACCTACCTTGTACATGTATTGCATGCTGTCCAGTCCATATTCAGTTTGCCTGGGACCTTCGCACAAGAACCTGCTCTGCCATTCGATTTTCTTTCCCTTGCTGTAAATCAAGGCAGGGCGCTCAGTTGGTTCATGATATCGCCGGTATGCACGGGGACCGGGAATGCCTCTTGCCACCTCTGGGAAACCAAGCGTGCATCAGGGAGCCCTACACCTGAGGTGGAGAAAATAATCACACCTGAAGTTTTTTTTGTTTAGGCCATGCATGGAATCATAGAAACAAGCCACACCATAGATTCTGTGCCAGATCACCGTAGCAAGAGTGATGACCAGGGAGTCATCAAATAATAATATTTGACGACTCCCTGCTGGTGATGACGAACCTTTACGGCTTCAATCTTGAAACCTTCACAGTGGGCGTGACATCGCTTAAAAGTAAGCGGCGCAAAGCCTTTAACCAAGAGTGTCCAATGTACAATGAAGCATAATATGAAATTGTCTACAATCGCAAAGATATGCAGGTGTAAATTGACCAAATCGTGAACGTACAACTAAAACTGGCACGAGCGTTTCCCCCGGTTTACAGTGGAACTGCCCAAATGACAAACTCAGTCTAGCTGCCCACAGCCTGTAGTAAGCAACACAGTTACACTGCTTCCTGACCATTCAAGTGCACTACAAAACTCAATTTTATGAACAGTGATTTGGTGGAAGTTTTTTAGTTTGGAACTTAGGATTAGCATGCCTCACACGTACTGCATTGTGCCAAGTGCCGTACTAACACGGAAGGACCTGTAACAGCACAGTAAAATTGTACAGAACACGAATCCACCAACACCAAAGGCACAAAAGTATTAAAAGTTTTTGGAACATGCCACATCGTATGCATGTACAAATACAATCCTGCTTTGCAGAAGCTTTCAAGACGCAAAAACACACCACTGTACACGACGTACAAACGCGAGGAACACATACACCCTTCGTCACCAGTCACCGACAATATCAAACACAGTCTCGTTGGGAGGTAGCACTTTGGGCACCAGGCGTTTTTGCGAGATATTGAACATACGACATGGAACAAAGGCATTCAATTCATTCGGATTTGACGGAGGACAAAAACAGTCAGGGTATCACAAATAAAAGGCACGGTGTGAAGAAAGAAATCAATCCTCGATCGAGATGCAGAGCAGAGCACACAATCAAGGTAGCAGAAAAACAACACACGTGTACTGGCACACATGCACCGACATACAGCCCATGCACACATACAAGAGCGGCCGCAGATGCAAATGCCGCAGCACGCGACCAACATAAGACACGCAGTCGACGAGAGAGCCTGCACAGGCAGGCCATATAGGGTGCAGGATCGAGCAGCACAGTTGGTGCATGCGATCGCATTCACACCAATCAAAAACGGGCTGTCGCAGAGCAACTGCTGATAGCTGGTCTGAATGCACACATCGTTCACGGAACGGGAAGCCACAATCAGAAAAGCTACTTAATGTTTACAATACTCTGGACCAGAGGCCCATGGTGGGCAAGATTAGCCTTGCACTTTCCAGAGAAGACACCGCAGTGCCCTTAAGCATGTTGATACAGCTACACATTGGACTGGAGCTAGTGACAGGAAAGGTCAAAGCCACGGAAAAAGAGGGTGGATGTTACCTCAAAACTGCCTCTCAATAAGGCGCTGACCGGTTGGAGCCGTAACTGCTGTTCCTGGATGGGCCGCCATAACGATCATTACCACCGTACTGACCTTGCTGCTGCTGCTGTTGCCCATAGCCGTAGCCACCGCCATAACCTCCTTGGTTATAACCGCCGTAATTGCCACCGTAGCCGCCAGCGTTGCCGCCATACCCACCACCGTAGCCGCCTCCATAATTGCCACCGTAGCCGCCAGCGTAACCGCCGCCGTAGCCGCCCTCGTAGCCACTGTTACCTCCGTATCCACCGCCACCGTAACCACCACCGCCGCCGCTTCCATAGCCACCACGGCCTCTACCCCGGCCGCCGCCGTAGCCACCACTGTAACCACCGCCGTAAGATCCACCGTAGCTGCCGCCACCGCCGCCGCGGCCACCTCCGAATCCACCACGGCCACCGCCGCGGGCTTGGTCGGTCTTTGGCGTTGCTTTGCGAACCATCAATGTAGTCTCGCCAATCACCACCTTCTCAATCTCAATTGCTTTCTCTGCAGCCTCGATGGAGTCAAACGACACAAAGCAGAAGTTGCGGCGAACACCAGTTGCCCTATCCATGGGCATGTCAATCTCTTCCACTTTGCCTACATTGAGGTCGTTGAAGGCAGTGCGAATACCTTCCTCCGTCATTTCAGCAACGAGGCCACTGACGTACACTTTCTTCACCTTGTTCTTCGCATTCAGTGGCACAGCCACTTCGGGATCAAGCGGTTTACCATTAATCTCATGTGGACCACCATCCAACACTTTCTTGACTGACTCTTCCTCCACGTACGTTAAGAAACCAAATCCTCTGGGGGTATTCGTTACTGGGTCAATTTTTAGTACAATGGAGTGAATCTCTCCGAATTTGGCGAAATGTTCACGGAGATGCTCCTCTGTAGTTCCTCTCGGTAGTCCACCAAGGAAGAGACGGCGATTGTCTTCACTTGTCGTGGGTACTGAGGATGACTGGGCGTCGCCACTTGACTCAGCAGTCTCCACTGAGGGCTCGGCCTCTGCCTGCGTTGTTTGATCGCCAGAAGTACTTGCAGAATCGGCGGGGTCAGCTACTGCATCAAGAGCAGCATCAGAAGACTCATCAGCGACGTCTGTAGGCTCCTCTGACTGGCCAGCCTCCGGGTTAGTCTCGGCTTCATCAGCAACATTTTCAGCAAAATTAGGTGCAGCAGCTTCTTCTTCCTGAGAAGTCTCGGGAATTACTGCCTCTTCCTCGGCCATAATTATCTATACAGTCAAACGTTATAATAAAGCAAGAACAACAAAACTCCCTGTGATAGCCTCGGAGAGATGGCTGACAAACAGAGAGAGTTCTCGAACAAAGCTCGCCGAAGTCCACTAAAACAGATCCAATGCGAGCGCTGGGTTGCCTTGGCTTCTGCACTCTTTGGCGCAGTCCTGCAGTGGCCATCTTGGAACCTCATTCCTGGACCTGCAAAAAAAGCTCTTTTCCACGATTTACATGCACGACGCGACGTTAACCCTTTCAGTGCCAAGGGGGTCGGAAAAATTCAAATTTTTCTGAGTTGAGCTGAACTCAAATTTTTCATAGCTCAGCTGTATATCCACGGATCTTTACAAACGATGGCTCTCTGGAAAGATATCATGGCCAGGCAGACAGCTGTGAAGAGAATACGCAGCGAAAATAGTCTTCCTCGCGAGGGCGCCTGAGCGAAGTCCGTTTTCTGCATTTTCGTAGCATCTGCACTTTCTCACGCGCGCGATCGATCGCAGTGCAGTCAACTTCAGGGCTCACAGTCCAATACAAAAGCGTCGAGTCGCGCACGGCTTTGCGCGGATGTCACGTGATGACAACTGACCAATCACAGGCCTCTATTCTCCTCTATTCTCAAATCTTTGATCTAGTCCACTACATCGGCCCTGATGTCCACGAAGCTGGGATTCGCTATGCTGATTCAAAACCCCCAAACTCAGTGATCTACCGCAGCGTTTCACCATTTTCCCTCCAGTTTTCCGGCACGGATTAGCCAAAGTCTGGTCGTTTTGGCTTCGATTTCGGCACAGCAATCGGAAAAGTGATCGGTAAATGTCTGGAGAATTCCACGCTGAAAAAAATAAGCCATAGATGATCAAAATCCGCCAAGAATGAGATGTAGTGGACATTTTTGAGTGAGTGCCACTCAGCGCGCAGAACGCCAAAAGTGCAAAAGCAGCACCAGATCAAACAACAAGAAAAACGCATGCATGCAGCGGAACAGCAACGCGCGCGCCGTCCAACAGAAAATCATTGCGCACAGATTTTTCAGTGTTCTCTCCTCAGTTCGCCCGCGGAGTTGGTTGCTGTGCTTTCGTTCTCGCTGGAGTTCTTGTGGCAGCGCATTTCGCCATCATGGAGGAACTGGTACCTCTGGAAACCTGGCCTTCAGTGGCCCTCAACTAACGCCTGGCGGATTTGCTGGTCCCGTTCGCCTCCATCCGATCAGCAGCTCTGTGTGGTATGTTCTCGGCGTTACCTGCCTGGCGAGCTCTGACTCGTTTGTTTGTCTTCTTACCTGTGGAACATCGCGATCGCTCATTGTAGCATCAGCATTTGGTCGAACAGCGGCTACATGACATGAATTTCCTGGGACTAGCACAGGTTGCCTGTCGCCTTCTCCTTCGGTGGACCAATTCTACAAGGCACAGTGAAAGGCAAGTCGTTGCCGAGGGCTGGCAGTAACTGTTCAGTGTTGCAGTGCAATTCCCAGTGCAAATAATAAAGCAAACTATTTCCACTGGAGTATGCACGATCGTAAAAGCACAAGATCGAGACGAACGGAAACGAGAATGGTTTGACACTGCATGCCAAGAGAAGGCGAGGAAAGGACAGGTCCGACCAAAATATCGCGAACATCGGCTCTGCAAGACAAGAACAGGCTACTCAAGCCAAGGTTCTTTCTCTTCTTTGTTCTGTTGGGATGCGTAGGATGTACACGATCGTGCTCTCGTGGGGTCACGCGACTCACGTGCACCAAACCCGCCCTCGCACGACGCTTTTGTCGATCCTGCATACCGACTGTGAGCCCTGAACTTTCAACGCACGGAATTCGGACAAAGTTGGCCTGAAAGCCGCTGAAAATCTCGATGTTTTGATACCCAATACGCATGGGTTGCCGCGAAAGAAATAGAGAAACCCGCGATGCGCATACGTCATGTTTTCTACGGGCGACAATTGTTTGTCCGAGCGCGCGCGCTTCAAGCTTCGCCCTGGCGATATCTATCCTCACGGACACAAAACGATGTGATGAGTCGATAGCCAAGGTCTTCCTGAACACGTAGAGTGGTCGTTTGTAACTCTCCTGTGTGTAGAAGTGGAGATACGAATTTATTTGTACACACATACTCATTTTGGGCGACTAAAGTCGCCCGTGGCACTGAGAGGGTTAATACGCGCGTACGCGCGCTTTCCTTTTTGTCACACAAAAACTGTTATTGTAATTAAATTTTAAATAATTTAATTTTGTAGTATAGTGCAGGACGGTTAGTACGTACCGGTACCAAGGCTTCTGTATAATACCGTACCAGGGAGTAGTACTCCCTGGTACGTACATACATGTAGCAGGGAGTCGTATTTTACGACTCCCTGGTACATAGTGCCAGTCTCCTTTACAACACAGCCTCTCTGACAGTAGCCGGCCACTTGTACCACAGTACAGTATGCAACAGTACTGTATACTGTACATGATTGACTGCTCTTATTGTTTCAAACAAAAGCCTGAAAAGTGAAAAGGCTTGCCCCGGGTCATTATTGGAGACCTGGACTTTTATGCCATGATTCTGAGGGAAATGACAATCATCGGACCCGCTACTGTGACATGACGTACTCAGTGTAGCTAGCTGTACATATACCGGCAAGAGCACATAGAAAAGTACTCAGGCTTGCATACCGGTACTGTACTAGCAAGACTGAGCCTGCGGTATTATAACCGCCGGGGACACAATAAAATGATGCCGGATGCTTGAAAGAGATACATGTTTGGGCTACAGACTAGGATCCCAGGTTGACTATGGCTCGAAACAGATGACCAGTCATGACCAGAACATGCACGTCATGAAAGCGGGATGGCATCTCGTGTGAGTTGGACTTGTGACTCCAGCATACTGTCGCTGGAACTTGTGACCGCGGCAGTGTTCAACCGTCCACACCGCTCGACCAGGCTTGGCTCAACAGAATGTGCAATTGCCTTCCGTGCTCACCGGACAGGGCAGTGTGATCAAGTTGAGCAGAAAGACGAAGTAGTTGCTGCTGCGGACAAGCCTGAGTCCGCTTCAAGTTGAAGCGGCATACGTGACAACAACTGCGCGATTGAAGCTGACCCGCGGTGACCGTGAAGCCTCTACACGGCTGCCGGTCTCAGTGTGCCATACAGCCGGGCTGGTCAGGCTGTTCCGCCCCGCTATGCAGCAGTCACTGAGTTGTGTTGATGCACTGCCGCCGTACTGTGGCAATGGGGTACTAGTACTGTACTGCGGCTGTGGCAATGGCATGCTTGACCGCCACTGGATCGCTAGACATACCTTTGTCTGCTTTGGTCGGAGCCGAAGAAGACTATTTCCAACTGCGGCCAGCCTCGACCCATACGATGTCGTCGAGCGTAAGCATATTTGCTAGTTTCTGCGTCGGCATCACCATGGTGTTGACGGATGAAGGGCTGGTTCGTGTAGGGACTGATGCTACAAGGTCACGAGTCACGAGTGTAGGTCAGAGTCTTCGGGCCGTCATTACTCGCCGCTGCCTGGCGCGGCTTCGACCGTAACGTTATGAGATGCCAGGAGACCAGTGTTTGCACCACATGGTGCAGTACTGCAATACACCAGTGTGTACACGGTGCAGTACTACAACATACCAGTGTGTACACGGTGCAGTACTACAATATACCAGTGTACGTGTGTACACGGCGCAGTACTACAATATACCAGTGTATACACGGCGCAGTACTCTGCCTGTCACTGGGCTACCCCGTACGTCGGCCACGAACGCAACCGGGCGAGCCGGAAAAGTCGAAGTGTTGGTTCTGGTCGAGAAGACGATCTGCCGGGTAACAATAATCGACTCGGAAGCTGCTCACGACGTCCAAGCTCAGGCACTCAGTATTGCCACTGAAACTGATCTGGTACACTGCAATTCTGTGATACCTACCCAGGGTACCAGGCGCCACAGATGCACACATCATACCGAAGACATTGTTCGGAATGCTCTTCGCCACCCGTTGTCGCCATAGACTTTCAATGCTGCAATAGCCCACTTCTTGTCGTAGAGAGGCTCTGGCTGACGGAACGACGCTGGAGCCGGGGCTCAAAAAGAAGAGGGAAGATTCGGGATTATCAGCGGTGGCTCCATAGCCATGTCTACCAATTCCTGGTACCGGGGCTGTGCTGGCCGGACCGGGGGGGGGGGGGCAATCACAGTTGCCATTACACCCTATTTCCGAATAAACTCCGGGATACTTGGCAGGAGACGAAACGTGGGATTGGCATTGCTGTGAGTTCCCGTCCAGTCTTGCTGGAGTTCATCAACTGCTTCGTCTCCTTGTCCAACCACCGGGAGTTGTATCGAGGTAACTGCGTGCTCTGACAGTTCGCGAAACGATCCAAAATCTTGTGGTCCCAATTCTCAATGAATCGTCCTGATGATCGAACAGTTCGTTGACCAGTTGCTGGGGTTTCGTTACATCCGTATGCGGCTAAGGCGATCCGCTTCACAGTTGACGGCTTCAGGGATGTGCTTTTCCAGGATAATTGTCTTAAGCCACGGCGCTACGGCATTGATTCGACGAGTTACGGCCATCCGGGTTTCTTCATGTTCAACATCAATGACTAAAATAATCATACAGAGTTTTCCGTTTTTCTTCCGCATTGTTGCTACTGGAGAACTGTAGTGCGATGGCGTCTGGATTTTCTCCATTGCTTCCTGTGTGAGCACCTCGTATATTTGAGCTGGTAGTGAATTCTCTGCTCTCCTTGGGAATGGGCTTTCCTTGGTGGAATGCTGCTTGGTGCTGCTTGAACTTGCTCAAGTTTTAATATCGGGAAGCCATTTCAGTGTCAACCAGTCCAGGATCATTGGTGAGGCACCAATTTTTGCCCATTCCATTGTGTCTTCTATCATGACCGCCCGAAACCAGAGTGGGCCGTTGTCTTCTGTCGGGAGCGGAACTTGCTTGCGCACTTGTGTCGTGGTCGGCCGATCATCCCTACGTGTGAGTTATCCTAAGCCCGTTTGCACAAAGTATATGTGCGCCTCTTGGTCATTTCACTCAGGCGTACCTCAGACCCAACACACAGAGAAATTAGGGTGGCGGGGCACAAAGGTCCGATAATTATAGTAAAAGTGGAAATGCAAAGGAAAAGTAAGAAACTGCAAATGCAAAACCCGGCTCAAGCGGACAAGTCCGCTTGAACTCTACTCAACCCAACATAAAACTCTACTGAACTACTCACTGCCAGACTCTACTCGAGTCAGCGAACGTATACCAGCTGAAGTCTACAGCAAGCAGCTAGCTGTGAAGAGAAGCATCGAGCAGGCAGCGGCAAACAGAGCGCGAGCAAAGGTCAGCAGGAGGAAGCGCGCACGTTGCTGCAACTTTGCAAGGAAAGTACTTTACTAGTAACACTATAAACATGCTGAATGGAAACAGGCAGACGGAAAGACAAGACGATCGATTACAGTTCTGTGGTAAGGGCGAGTCTAGGCAACACATTGAGAAGCGCCAGCAGGACATGACTACAATAGTGATGACGAGTAGTAGAACATATCTAACACGTGGCTCGATCTTCTAGAAACGTACATCATGTGTACCTATGCTGCTGCTCTAATTATTATGCATAACGGTAGTCACGGCATGATCGCAGCATTAGGGTACACAACTGTTACCATGGTTACATGACATTCATTGTAAATGATTTTACAAGAGCACTACTGTGTACGCAGGGTCATCGCACTTCCCCCCGGCTGCGAAGAAAAGGTCACGTCCTCGTGACAGAAAAGAAGCAAAACAAAACAAAACAGCAAAAGGCTGAACAGGCGCGTGCTCGGCGATGGGCACGGGGGGCACGTGCACCCCCCAAAAATTTTCAATCTGGGTAATTGCAATTGTAATGTATGCAAATATGCTCTAAAATTCAAGAAAGGTTGCAAACAAATTGCAGAAAATTGCCGGGGGGGGCTCCCCTCGGCTCCCGTGCACCCCCCTAGTTGGGGGGCCGAGCACGCCCCTGCTGAAAATAATAAGGAACAAAACACGACATGAGTTCCCAGGCAATTGCAAGCAAGAGGGAACAGGGCTTTGGACTGCAAACTGCAAAATCTTGAAATTAAATGAGTGGAACCTATAGCTGGAATCAATGAACACTGGTTGGAATATGTTCTGCTACAGCATAAAGCGGGAGAGCAGTCGCTAGTTAATACAAAATCATAAGAAAAAGGCTATTTCGCTATACCTAACTGGACAAAATTGGATGGACAACTGATCTGTGCTAAAGCACGCATTATTGTTAGTGTTCATTGCGGTATGATCAGATCCGAAACATGATGGATAACATAGCTAGGGATAAACGGTTCACTCAGGGAGGCACAGGAGAAGTTACAGTCACTTTACTTGACAGGTAGCTCTTATGGAACTAATTACTTGGAATCGTAGAATCAACAATCACTCAAGATACTTACATGTACAGTAGTCTTACTTGAGAGTATATAGGGATCGTAACTCATGACGACGGCCTGCGGACGATAGTTACGTTTGGGACGATAGTCTCATTACTCATGTCGAGCCGATACATGTACAGGCGATGACGTTACTTGGACACTCACGATAGACGGTAGACACTATAGAAGACGTTAGCAGCAGAGGTTAGACTAGGGTAGCACACTCATTAGGGAACAGACAACATGGCGGGGCTAGTGTGGGTGTAGCATCAGACGGAAACACTTTAGCGGCAGGATGGATGATGGGCATAGCACACGGACTGATGCTTGAGTGTACAATGGCTGATCAGGTGGGGCTCAGGCAGGAACTGACTCAACTGGCATATTTCGTCATTACAAGTTCCGGCCCCATACATAGTTGGCAAGATGGCCGGGCGGTCAGTGGAGGCGCAGCGGACGTGCTAGAAGTTGCACACGTGCAGGCGGAGGAACAGCAAGCACAGGGTCTGGGAACGACTCCAGGCTGTCGTCGACGTCCTCGAGATAGAGCCGGTCGGTAGCGTCGCAGCGTAGGTGGAAACCGGAGGGTCCAGCGGGGGTGGCTCTGCGAGCACTTCCGGTATCACGACGAGGCGTTCTGGTCGGACATGGCATCGCTTGAGGCGGTTGGCATGTACCACCTGCCGTTTGCCAGGCGGACGCGTGTCAGCAATGCGGTACACAACCTCGGACAATTTGTCCACCACACGGAATGGGCCTTTCCATGGTCGAGCGAGCTTTGGTGTCGTGCCAACCGGCACAGCGGGCACCAGTAACCATACCAAGTCGTCCACCTCATAGCGGACTGCCGAAATACCAGCATCGTGCAACCGTGCCTGGTGGCGATGGACATTTGCAAGCCGTTTGCGGACAACGGTATGCGCATGTTGCAGTCTCTGGCGGAGAGTGCGAACGTAAGCGGCTTCAGTGGGCGCCGAGTCATCACAAGGCAAGCCATACGCGACACCCTGCGGAAGGCATACTTCACGACCGAACAGCAGGTAAGCCGGTGTGTAACCAGTGCTGGACTGTGGTGTTGTGCGATAGGCCAGCAAGATACCAGGAAGCTGAACGTCCCAGTCGCGCTGACTGGCCATTACGTAGTGTGCGAGAATACGCTCGAGCGTTTGGTTGCAGCGTTCCACCAGCCCGTCACTCGCTGGGTGGTAAGCGGTTGTTCTGGTCTTCTTGATGCCGAGCAGAGTGCAGACACCTCTGAACAACATGCCATCCAGATTACGCCCTTGATCCGAATGCAGTGCGTCGAGGGCAACACGCTCGAAAGGGTATCCTTCCCAATCGAGTTGGAGAGGCGTGTTTTCTTCTGCGAGCAGGAGTGGCAACTGGCTACCCAGTCCTTCACATCCTGTTTCATGCCTTACCAGTAGAACCGCGGATGCAGTTGGCCCATTGTACGCTGGACACCGGCGTGACCTGCCTGGTCATGATATACGGACAGAACGTCTTGGCGGAGATGGGCTGGCACCACAATTTGTGAGTGCTGGCGTGACCCATCATCGTTTTGCCATAGCCTATACACCACTCCCACTTGCAGCGAGAATTGCTGGCGTCCCTGCCAGAGAGCATGAAACGCGGGGCTGAAGCCAGACAAGCATGGCAGAGAATGCGGCGGATGGAGAGCGAGCCATGTACGAGCGAGAGCAAGATCGGAGTCTTGCGCTTGAGCGGCCGCCCACTCTGTGGGTGAGCGGAAGTCTAACGGAGTTAGAGCGGGTGGAGCGGTCGAGGCAGCGGGTGCCACGTTGGCTACGGCCATGTGGCGAGAGACTTGGCGAGACAACCCATCAGCGTTAGCATGGGCACGCCCCTGGCGATACTGCATCGTGTACGTGAACTCACTCAAGAACTCCAGCCATCGCGCAATGATGACCGGTGGCTCCCTGAATGAGGACAAGTGCTGCAGAGCACGATGGTCAGCACGGACAGATGGAGGCGAATTTCCTATGCACACAGGATGCGAATGCGCAAGGCTTCTGGCGTAAATTTTACCTGATACGCACGAGGTTAGCAGACGCAACTGCAGCGGAATGCAAGCCATAGACCGAGTGTGTACAAACACACGCCAGGCTGGCAGAGTACGGCGTGACAGTCATGCATCCTCAGTCAAGCAATGATCTGAGTGGCACCAGCAACGGGGTTAACACCGGAAACATTAGCGGAATGAGGACCCAAGCGGTGTTCCACAACGATTGAACTCACAAGAGGATCCAGCTTCACGTAACAACGATAATGACGAGCGAGGATGGGCTACCTGTCAGTCAAGCCAGGTGGCGACAGCCCAGCACAATGCAGTGCAAATGACACGCTTAGCGAACTTACCAGCGGAATACCAAACTACGCCACAGAAGGGCATAATTTGATTGGCGGAAAAGACGGCGCACACATCACACTGTAACAAGTGAGACTCAAATAGGTTTCCCTAGGCTGCAATGTCAGTAGCGGCGGTGTGTGCGAGACAGACAACACAAGAAGGCGGAAGAGCCGTGTCATTCGAGACAAGTGGCCGCACAATGTACACTGTCGTCTGGTATATGGACGAAAGTGATTTGCAACCGCAGTATGCAAATCGGCGGAAACGAACGACAGAAGAATGCGGAAGTCCCACTGGACGGCATAGTGTACTCTCTTGCCGATAGACAACGACAACGGCAGCAATGAGAAAGGCGGTTCAAACTCCCCATGACGATTCACACGACAAGATTCCCACCTCCGAACAAACGGCTTCAAACAAAACCTGACACTACGATAGCGCTGACAAGTAACAGCCTAAGGGTGTACTTCCCAAAGACAGGACAGGAGTGGTGCATGTACAGGAAGGGTGCATGTACTTATCAGTGACCTGGAACCCGTGACTGAATCGGTTCATGAACCGGCAAAACCTCGAAAATAAAAACAAAAATGAAAAACGACAACAATGTTACGTCAACGGCTGGTGCTTCAACTGTCTACATTACGTATTTCGTCAATAATTGACGTTTCGACTTCTCAACCTTCTCAATGAACTCAATGACTTTCATCCATTACCCCTGAACCCTTCAAAACCAGTCAACCAATCGCTGCTTACAGAAACTAAATCTTCAGGCAGGTACAGTACGAAGACAAGGCAACACAACAAGGATATCCGCGAAGAGCAACGACCGAACAATTTCCAACACACGGGCAGCCATACCCTACACGATACGAGAACGATTGTTACTTGCATGCATTAGTCATCCATTACCACTTACCCTGGGTGCGTCCGGTGAATGGCGGTGATCAGTCGGAGCAGAGCCAGCTGCTATTCAGGTCCTCGCAACCTCCTCCTTCCCTTCTTCTTCACCACACCTCGCAACGGGTCCACTCGGCTGTGGTCCGCGACGCCCGCACTCGGCAGCTAGACAGCGTCGCGGGACAGCCGAGACGTAGGTCTACGCATGGTCCCCGAGCGAGCCGGAGTCCTCCTCCGGTCCGAACCAGTTTCACGAACATCTCCTGTGCTAGTCATGGCGAGATACCGTGCGGTCGGCCTTCCCGGAACCCGTGCCTCTCACGGACTAGTACAGTTCCAATTCCAATTCCCAGCGGTAATTACATGCACTTACTTATACGAGACGATACACAGGCGGTGGCCAGATGGCGACAAGACAACGAACGAGACAGCGGTAAACAAAGGCGAAATACAAAGCTCTTCGCGGTTTTCCCTCCGGCGTGGTCCCTGCTGGTGACAAGAACCTCGTAACAACAACAATGCGATTTGACAAACGAGCAGCATGCGAGTCAAGCCTCAACGGTCAAACAGACAACAGTCAACACACAAGAAACACGCAACAGCGGCGGGTCTCGGTAGCGGAACAGTCTTACCGGTGCGGGTGGGGTACGGCAGGGTCACGCTGCACATACATTATTATGATACAAGCGGAAAGACAGCGGACACCCGTAGATTTACGACTACGAGCAGTGAAGCGGATTCTTGCATCACGACGTGTGCCATCTTTTAGAGCCATGATCGACACCCATAGATCTACGAATCAAGCTGGAGTGAGGCGGGTCTCACCATCAAAACGCGAACTGCATCCGGCAGTAGCAGCTGTGCAACACAACTCCTGCGAGCCAGCATACATCACGAAAATCCGGCGGATGTAGATCGAGCATCTAGAAACGGGCGCGGCTTATTACTATACTGCTAGAGCGATCATGCGTAACCACGTAGATCTACACCGGAACTTATTATTATTATTATTATTATTCACACATATCCGCCGGATGAGTACGCGTGGCCCATGCACCATGGGGACCCACGAATACAAACCAGCATAATTATGTTCCCTCAGCAATACAAGCAAGCAAGCACGCAAAGATAAATGAGAGCCCAGGCAGCGAAAACAAAACGAAGAGAGATGAGGACATAGGCAACGAAAACAATTCCAAAGCATAGCCAGGGATTGAATGTGTGCATCTGGGTACGACAGTTAACACGGCTAGTGCAGCCGTACAGAGCGCAGCAGCATGAAAATACAAAAGTGCCACAGCAGCAGCAGCCAAGAGTGTGCAAACACTAAAAAAGAAGATCAGTCCATGAAAAAATTATTGTCGCCACAGGTAGACATCTCCGGCAAGAATGCATGCGTGCGCACAAGTAGGCAGGCAAGCATGTCAGATGTAATCGTATTATTATGGCCAGGCTAATTAACAGTGCTGTTTCGCAATGAATTCCATCGGCATTTATCATGCGCGACCTTCCGAAGCTGGGCTAGGCCAGGTCGCGACAGAAGCACAAGCCCCAGCTTCTCCCGACAATCCAGTGAGAGAGTGGTTAGCAGTGTTGTTCTTGGTCTGCCTATCCTTCCCCGCAAGGCACCAGAAGCAGCAAAATCGAGAGCGACCTGTGGGGGTGCCCCTGATGGCATCCGGAGTACATGCCCCAGGAAGCTCCATCGCCTCGCCACGATCTCCTTGGAGATGGGTTGGGTGAGACAGCGGTTGTAGAGTTCCGTGTTTTTGATTATATTTGGATACTTTATACGGAGTAGCGAGCGGAGGTGACGGCGGTGGCAAACGTCCAGAGACGTTCTGAGTGCCTCAGTGAGGCCCCAGGTAGCGCAGTTGTAAAGCAAAATGCTTAGAACGTAGCAATTGTACAGCCTCAGCTTCAACGTTAGGGAGATCCCTGATGACTGTAGAAGGCTTTGCATCCGGCCAAATGACTGCGATGCCAGAACCATTCGGTGTTTGATGTCCTCGGCAGTACCAGCTCTCGATCCAACCAACTTTGCCATCCGCCATTCTTCTTTCCCTCTTTTTTCCAGGTCTGCATCGAGGTAGAAGTGGGTCCGTTCAGTTTTCGCGCCGTTGACCATCAATTGGTGTTCTGGCATCTTCAGCACGCATACATCATGGGTTTGTTCAAGATTTTGGTCGTTTTCATCGAGGAAGTCAAGATCATCTGCGTACTGAAGTTCAGGGATAGACGGTGCTAGGCCTGTACTTTCTCTTCGGAACTGATGTCTCAGCTGCTGCAGAACATGTTCAAAGTAGCACGTAAACAGGACAGGGCTCAGGCAATCTCCCTGTGGTGTGCCAATGCCAGATTGAAAGGCGTCTGCAGTCTGTCCGCATACTCGAACACTGAGCGTTGTGTCTACAAGCAGCGTTGAGACCATGGCTCGAGCATCAGGTACGCCAGGCGCTGCAGTGAGGATTGATTCAAGCAGGCTGTTTCTATGCGGAGTGTCAAAGGCCTTGGAGAGGTCGATGCCCAGCTTGTTGAATGACCACTGCTTATTTTCTACTAAACTGCTGAGAATACGAACAGTGAATACAATATCACTCGTCGACCGGCCTGGTCTGTACGCACTCTGTGAGGATGGCAGGTACTGTTCCACCTGGTGTTGAATCCGTCGCAGTGTGATACTTGACAGGATCTTTCTAACTGAATTCAGAAGAACAATTGGACGAAGGCTGCTACATGGACCCTTGGGTTTCCCCGGCTTCTGCAGAGGTATCAGCACGCCAGCACCAATCGCAGAATCTGGTGTCGCCGACTCTACAGAAGTTTGTAGGATGTGAGCAATTGATGTACATAGAGGCTCATTGCAGG